AAAAAAAAAAAAAAAAAAAGAATTACAATGTTTTCTGTACATATGCCAATACCCCATGAGGAATGTAATCATTATGTACTGCAAACTTATACTAATAAAAAGTTTTTAAAAATTAATATGAAGGGCCGGGGATTTAGCTCAGTGGTTCCACTGCCTGCCTCGCAAGTGCAAGGACCTGAGTTCGATCCCCGGTACCCAAAAAAAATTTAATATGAAGCCAGGCATGATGACCCATGCCTACAATCCTAGCACTCAGAAGGCTGAGGCAGGAGGATCACTATGAGTTCAAGGCCAGCCTGGACTACATAGCAAGACTATCTAAAAAAAAACAAAAAGTGAATATGAGGTCCTCATTTTCCCCTTTCTTTTTTGTTTTTGACATTTCAGGTTTAGAAGGGAGAAATGGCTTACCCTGAAAGATTTAGTGGGCACATTTTACAGAGACTTTGTATACATTCAATTAGCTGCTTTGTTAAATGATATCCAAAATATATACATCAAGGTAAACTGATGGCAAAGATCCTCTCTACTTGCCTTCCTTCACCAAAAATGTAAGGAAAACGTGACCGTTTTAACCTATTTCGAGAGTACATTAGGGCCAGGGATTTAGCTCAGTGGTTCCACCACCTGCCTCGCAAGTGCAAGGTCCCAAGTTCGATCCCCAGTACCAAAAAAAAAAGTACATTAGATGGTGAGAGATGATATCTTTTGTGGACATGGACCCTGAGATCATCAGTTTCTGGCAGCTGCACAACCCTGTGTTCAGTGTGAAGGCCCAGGCAGCCCTTTGCAAGTGAGTCTTCAAGGCCTGGAAGAGTGCATGACATTTGCATTTTCTAATACAGTCTCTTTGGTGTGGGTAAAACTCAACCAGACATGGTTAACACTTTGACCTCGAGGGTGAACCATAGAACTATAGGGCAGTGCCCTCTCTTCCCTATTGATTCCTGACAGAAACAGTGATGAGTTTATTTTTGTATGCTTTTGAATAAATTTAAGGCCTATTTTAAGAGTTTTGTTCAGAGGGACTGGGGATTTAGCTCACTGGCACGGCACCTGCCTCGCAAGCGCAAGGTCAAGGTCCTGAGTTCAATCCTTGGTACCTGGCCCCCCTAAAAAAGAGTTTTGTTCAGTTCTTCATCAAAGAGAAGAGTTCAGATGTCTTTTTGGAGCTAGAGCAGTCTTCAGAAATTAATGAAGTCATAGTTGAGGAATTTGAGAGTTGGAGTGGATTCTGAGTTCCCAAAGGCGGTAACTGGAGCTGGGTGGGGAGGGGGGAAAAGAAAACAGCCGTAGTGATTTTTAGTACTTCAAAAGCTCAGGGACTGGGGATTTAGCTCAGTGGTTCCACCACCTGCCTTGCAAGCACAAGGTCCCGAGTGCGATCCCTGCTACCAAAAGAAAAAAAAAGCTTAGTGAACTTTGAAACTTGACCCAGGATCAGACTACTCTGGCTGATTGGTTGTCCTTTATGACTGGAGTGACATTGGCTGGGAAGGTGGACAGAGGTTGTCTCCTGCTGACCCAAGGTGCTGCTGGAAGCCCAGTGTTTTGTATCTGACACATTCAGCTGGCCCTTTAAAGCACTGCCTATACCTTTGCGGCACTGGTCTTGTCATTCCCTACTGACTTGATTTTGCCACTCCATCTTCCAGAGACTGATTCCTCCAAAACGCTGATCTGGTCAACGTGTTTTCTGTGGCTTGGCCCCCTATTTTCTCCAGCCTCACTTTTATTTCTTTATTTTTGGTGTGGGGCCTCGCTATATTGCTCAAGCTCCTGGGCTCTAGCAATCTTCTTACCTCAGCCCTCCAAGTGCAAGGTCCCGAGTTTGATCCCCGGTACCAAAAAAAAAAAAACTGGAACTTATTCCACCCCTAACATAGAAGGTTATGTAAATTCTGTCATATCTATTTGAAGCACCATAATATGCAAAAAAGAAAATTTTTGCCAATATTTGGCATGGCAAAGTGCGTTAGGTGAATGGTGTATGTACCTAAGGGGAGGATCTAGGAGGAAAATCTGAAGACAAAAGGTTTTGTGGAGGTTTGGAACTTTTTTGGTTTTGTTTTTGAAATGATGAGTGAAGACACTTCTATCCTGTTATCCTTAGAACAGTAAAGGAGGCACAAGGAACCCTGGAGGTGACACTAGTCTCCGAGTCACAACACCCCCTCCTTTCCTGTCCTATTTATAACTTGAGCGAGTTCCCCATCTCATCTGTAAGAAGGAAATCTAATAAGTAGATCTGATGGCCACTGGGAGTAGTAAAACTGAGGACAGACCTGGCCCGGGAACATTCCCTCAAGTGATCTAGAGATAGGCTGGACAAGTGTTTGTGCAGAATTGTTTTCCGATATAGCAGAGGAGATTGCCATTCTAGTTAAACAGGAATCCACTTTGACTCGACTGCTACTGTGTACAGGTGAAAAAAGCACATAAGGAGACTAATCATGCTGTGCTTGGGTCCCCTTGTGTGAATTTGTGTTGCCTGCTTTTATTGGTGAGAATGTGAGCTAGAAGAGGAAGGGATGGGTGAGCTACCCAAGGAGAAAGAATGTGATTGCAACTTCGGGGAAAGCTGGGATTTTACAACATCTTGCTCCAAGAACAAGTAACTTTTTGGCTTACATTTATCACTTTCAAAATTTTTTTTTTTTTTAGACAGGGTTTTGTTGTCGCCCAGGCTGGCACTGAACTCTGGAGCTCAAGTGATCCTCCTGTCTCAGCCTCCTGAATAGTTGGGACAAGCATGTACCACCATGCCTGGCTAATGTGATCTTTTTTAAATTTCACAGAAATATAGAATCACAGAACACTTAGATTACAAAGGACTTTCCACTTCAAGACAGCTGACTGACCCTATACCGTATCTGTCTCCTCTTCCTTCCAAACTGTTACTAAATGATAAGGGAATTTTTTTAAAAATGAAGCCACGAGAATATATAAAGAATTGAAAAAAATCAGACCCCCAAATTCAAAGACCCAATGCAAAAATGGGCATCCTAAATGAACAGACATTTCTCAGACAAAGAAGTAAAAGCAGCAGATAATATATGAAAAAATGTTCAACATCACTGGTCATTCGAGAGATGCAGATGAAAATAACACTGAGATTCCACCTCACCCCACAAAGAATGGCTGCTATCAAGAAAGCAACCAATAACAAATGCTGGCGGGGGTGTGGAGAGAGGAACCCTTCTCCATTGTTGGTGGGAGTGCAGACTGGTGCAACCGCTGTGGAACTCAGTATGGAGATACCTCAAAGAACTAGGACTACAGGTCCCATTTGACCCACAAAGAAGTAAAAGAATCATACCACAGTGATATATGTGCACCCATGTTCATAGCGACACAGTTTGTAATAGCTAAAGCTTAGAAACAGCCCAAGTGCCCATCAACTTGAAACTGGATAAAAAACATGTGGGGTTTTTTTATAAAATAGAGTACTACTCAGCCATAAAGAATGAGAAACTAGAGACATTTATAGCTAAATAGATGCTTATTGAGGCCGTCCTCTTAAGTGAAATAGATAGGACACGTGTGTAAATACCGAATAGTTTCTCTAGTGTGAGAAACTGAAAGTGTAAATAAGGATGAAAATGACTAAAACGAATAATTGATAATTTGAAATAGGAAAAGGTCCAAAGGTGTAGGGGTGGCGGGAGGGGAAGGGGAAAGGGAAGAAGGTAAAGGAAAAATAAGGAGAAAAGAAAAAAAAATGGAAACAAAGTCTGTGTAAATAGGGAAGGGTGGAGGGGGTGAAGGGCGCATAGGTAATGGGGAAAAAATAACTAAGATACATCATGTTCAGGTACAAGCACCCAATGATAAATGTAAACGTATACCTAAAATGTACCAATAAATATATATATATT